GCTACCCCACCTGCCCCCATATAATAGGTCTCTGATGAACTCAACAGACATACTATCATGGTCTGTGATCAGTAGAATGGTTTCCATGGTGATTATAGGAAACTGATTCACGTAGTGAAATTGCATACGAGTATATCGACAGCTGTGATTATGATTATGACATTCCTATACTGCAGACAGTGATTGTGACAGTATTTATCGAAAAAAAGAAGCATATAAAGCCAGAATACTTTCATGGTCTCATGTCAGTGTAATTTCACAATTAATAAGACATGAGGCTCTTAAAAGCCAGATCACGAAAAACGTATGTGAGCAGATGCTGACTTTAGTAGTTCTTATACTCACAGGGTGGAAGCGCTGTCCACACGAAATGTGGAGTTGCCCCAAAAGCAACTCCATTTCCTCGCTGGACAGTGAAAGACGGACACGTGGCGCAAGAGTAAATGTAGGTTGTCCTCGCATTTTCATTATTTTGCAAGTATATCAGGTTTTGCCATTTGGCAGAAGGATCTAGAAAGTTACAGATCTTTCTGTAATTGCTTGACACCCTCTATATTTATTGCAATTGCGCGTTAAGCGAGGGCACCCTACTGAGTATCGAAACAAGATCGCGGAAAAGGATAGTTTCAACACGAAACATGACATCCTCATCTGCAGACACACCTTTTTTTGCTGTCAATTCTTAGATATAGTGATTTTAGGTCTTCATTCGCAGTTAGACTTTAATGCGTCAGAACTTTTTCAATGATCGTCGAAAAATCAATCTGTACATTTTATATGGAGTTGCTCACGTTTAGCAAACAAACTGCCCATTGCGTTGTGATTTTACTGTCCAGGAGTTGACAGTTTATAGTTTTATCCGTCAGGTGATCAAACGTTATTCTAGAGATATTTGTTGTGAAGAAGAATGTTTTGTTACTGCCTACCTGGCGTATTTATTACGATTTTTTATCTTCAAGTACGATTGTACACCCTCATTGCAGTTTGTACCCTATCTGGGATTTATTGGATGCAAACCTATAAAAACACATATTACATGCATTCGTTTCACTTCAGCTGTACTTGCCAGCGTAAACACGACATGAAAACGAAGCTAAACAAGAGTGACCTCCCTTTCAAGTCACTTTCGTGCGTACAACCGAAAGTACTTTATTTAAAATCGTGACCGTAATGTATGTTGATTGATGATAGATATAGATCAAGTACTTCGGTAGATGTCGTGAAAATACAAAGTAACCTGATTGGCTAATTTTTCCGGTCTTTATCGTCGGGTTCTCTCATATTTTCCCGGTTTCTACCCATCTTATCCGATTGCTTCCCAACCAGTGGCATCATGGCGGAGCGTTCGTCGGGCTCATATGGGCCAGGATTAAAACATTTTACAAAATCATGTACGATCCGAAGTGTATTAACAAATATACATCTACCCCAGGAATAACCAAAACCAGGTTATTCCAAAATATGTACATTGTTCATACTATCATTCAGATATTAGTATTGCACATTCGGGTAAAGCACATGACTAAGCATCTGAAAACCAAAGCACATCACTAAGCATCGAAATCAAAAACCAAGGGACATCTAACCACTCTGTCTTTTGAATGTGCGAAATCAAATACAATAATGACTTCCTTTGTTCCCACCGGTGGCACCAACAGCGATATGGACAAGTCAATGGCAGTTGTAGAAAAAATAAAGGAGAAATCCAAATGGCACAATTTCATGAGAAAATGAACTTGCCGATCTTATCTTCAGACCTTACGAAGACAGTCAAAACTGTGTTGAACTTGATTGATAAAATCCTTCACAACAACTACCGTTTCCATTGCCAAGTCTGTGGAAAAGGGCATCAACAACTGTGGGATTTCAACAGTTAATGTTCTAAAATCCTAGCTAAGATACATAGCGTTCGCTATGTATCTTAGCTACTAAAATCCATGCAACTACATGGACAGTTACTTCAACGTAAACATTCAAAGCAATGGACAGTTTCAAAACAACTCCATGTAAAATGTACAGTTTGATTCTTCGACGATAACTGAAAAATGACCGATGCATTAAAGCTTAAACTGTGAATGAAGACCTAAAATCACTATATCTAAGAACTGACAGCAAAAAAAGGTGTGTCTGCTGATGAGGATGTCATATTTCATGTTGAAACGATCATTTTCTTTCGACACTCAGGAGGGTGCCCTCGCCTAACGCGCAATTGTAATAAATATAGATGATGTCAAGCTATTACAGAAAGATCTGTAACTTTCTAGATCCTTCTGCCAAATGGCTAAAACCTGATATACTTGCAAATTAATGCAAATGCGAGGGAAAACTTACCATTACTCTTGCGCCACGTGTTCTTTTTTCACTGTCCAGCGAGGAAAGGGTGTTGCTTTGGGGGCAACTCCACATTTCGTGTGGACAGCGCTTCCACCCTGTGATACTAGGTTTTATTCATGCAACATACTTTTAAATAATGGCGCGTCCTTTATCAAAGCTCAGCACAGCGACTGACCTAACAGCTACAGACGTCGATAATGAAGCTGGCGGTAGCATGCCATGGACTTGAGCTTGTGTTTTCTCCCGCGATCCAGGAAATGGGAACTAGTTTCCCGACAACGTACTATATCCTACAATCTACCGATTCACAATGTTCAGCGCGCTGGGCATCGGGCTACAAATAACTTATACAGATGGGATTGTCCTTGTTGAAACGGTTCTGTGATCAACCGTGGATCGTATTCGTCACTGTTCGTCACTATTTGTAAATGTATCTGACCTACGTGAAGGACGAGCCCTCTGTAAAATGCCTCTCGGCGAAAGTGTTCTCTGTGTAGTCACGTTTCCTTGTTATCATAAGGGTACAGTGGTACCGTTAGTGCTCACACACAGGATGACATGTGTGGTGAGGTTGTTTCCACGTACAGGCTTCGTGACAAGTGTGGTGAGGTTGTTTAGTTACACGTACAGGCTTCGTGACAAGTGTGGTGAGGTTGTTTAGTTACACGTACAGGCTTCGTGACAAGTGTGGTGGTGAGGCTGTTTAGTGTGGTGATTAGTGGTGAGGTTGTTTAGTTACACGTACAGGCTTCGTGACAAGTGTGGTGAGGCTCGTGACAAGTGTGGTGAGGTTGTTTTAGTTACACGTACAGGCTTCGTGACAAGTGTGGTGAGGTTGTTTAGGTACAGGCTTCGTGACGTACAGGCTTCGTGACAAGTGTGGTGGTGAGGTTGTTTAGTTACACGTACAGGCTTCGTGACAAGTGTGGTGAGGTTGTTTAGTTACACGTACAGGCTTCGTGACAAGTGTGGTGAGGTTGTTTAGTTGACAAGTGTGGTGAGGTTGTTTAGTTACACGTACAGGCTTCGTGACAAGTGTGGTGAGGCTGTTTAGTTACACGTACAGGCTTCGTGACAAGTGTGGTGAGGTTGTTTAGTTACACGTACAGGCTTCGTGACAAGTGTGGTGAGGTTGTTTAGTTACACGTACAGGCTTCGTGACAAGTGTGGTGAGGTTGTTTAGTTACACGTACAGGCTTCGTGACAAGTGTGGTGAGGCTGTTAAACGTACAGGCTTGTGTGGTGAGGCTGTTTAGTTACACGTACAGGCTTCGTGACAAGTGTGGTGAGGTTGTTTAGTTGGACGTACAGGCTTCGTGACAAGTGGTGGTTGTTGGAGGACATAGGCCTTGAGACAAAAATGTGGTGAGGTTGTTGGAGGTGGTGCTGGTGAGAAAGGGTGAAGGTAGTTTACAGGCTTCTGTGAGAAAAGTGTAGTGAGGTTGTTGGAGGTGACAGTACAGGTCCTTGAGATGGGTCTTGGAGATAGTGTGGTGAGGTTTTGGAAGAACATAGCCCTTTGGAGGACATAGAAAACTGCCGTGAGGTTGTTGGAGCAGAAGGAGCCTAGTGATCACAGGGGCGGATACAGCTTTTTGAGACCGCCTCCGTGGTGTAGCGGTTAGAGCGTCCGCCCGGAGAGCGAAAGGTCGCGGGTTCGATCCCCGACCGCGTCATACCAAAAGACGTTAAAATATGGTGCTTGTTGGTCCCTGCCTGGCGCTCGGCATTAATGGGTACAACAAGGACTGGTCGGCTCGGAGTCAGTATAATGTGTCTGAGTGGGGTATTCATGCTTCACTGTGGCATGGTATCTCAGTGGGCTAGCACTATAAAACCAGCTTCAGTCTGGGCTAGTACAAGCAGCCGCACATACACATACACACGCATGCACGTCGTCATATGAGCACGACGTTAAACCCAATTTCACCTCAACTCACCTCACAGCTTTTTGAGAAAGGTGTGGGGTGTGTGCACACTCTTGAGAAAGGGGGTGCACACTTCATTTTCATCCCTTTTCGCGAGAGTTTCAATGGTAATTTAATTAGCTTTCAGGACAAAAAAGCTGTATGCTCCTTGTGTTCGCATCTGTTTGCGCAGCCTCAATCCTCTCTATTGTTTTGTGAAGCGATTATCTAAGGCTAAACAGAGACCATATGGTCTCTGGGCTAAACAACTGAATGTACGCCAGAATTTCACATATTCTTGGTCTCGAAAGTTTCGCCCCTTTGAAACCTATTGGTGATTAAAAATACAAGTATCAGTTATGCGAATGTGTTATAATGTTAATTTAATGTCTACTAATATGAAATATTATAATATCTGTTTTTAACAACAACTGTACAACGATCGAGTATGTTATATATTTCCTGTACAGTTCAGTGCTTCTCGGAGCTGATTGGCTAGCAGAAGTAACGTATGACGTCATTTAACTGTTTTGTGAGAACAGTTCATAATAACCCCATGTATTGTTAATGACGTCACTATATTGCAGGTTACAATATGCTTGTGACGACAAATGGGAGATATAGAAACAGTTTATTCCTTCTAGAACAAAGACAAGTAAAGTAGGGTCATATTCGCTCAAAATTAACCGGGACGCCAGGAGTTCGGACTGGAGGCCACCAGTGTAATATTGCGCGAGGGTAATAGTACAACTCCAACAAACGGTCTTCCGCTCGAAGGATAAGTCATGTCAATGTTTACTAAGTGAATTTAATAATCAGCTGATAATTATCTGTGGTTGTGCACAAAGTGAACAATGAATCGCAGAATATGGTGAGTTGCTATTATTTTATACCAGAAGGTGTGTCTCAAAATATACCGTATCTCCAGCAAAATGTTTTACGCGTCTAGCATCTCACCTGTCAAAAATGATTATTGTCCGTGTTACTTTAAATTGTAAATCCTTACCGGCATACATTCGTTATTCTATATGCATATAACTATCACAAACATCTTATCTTACTTATCGCAAGCGAACCGATATGAAATACCTAATAGTCCATCAATCGGCTTGATTTTAGCTTGGTCTACACAGATTCGTGGTATTCCAGCACATCGCGCTCCGACCAGCAACAGTGGTATATCACAAGATTCAGTACCACTATTCAACTAAAAGAACGTTTCTGAAGCGAACTTTCGGAAAATCAGAATGAACACAGCTAGAAATCAGACAGATTGCGATAATTAGTCCTGATAATTAGCCCCAAAATGCAACATGTGTACTTGAAAAAAAAAGAATGAAAACTGCTGCATGTTACGAATCCTTGTAGTACAACGTGATCCAGTACCAAACCACTCACAATGTATGAGTCCAGTCTGATCATCACTGGATAATAGCTGTCAGTATGCAGACATGATGACACGCCATCAAAACTGATTCAACAAAATGGCAGCTGGATCTCTTTGGCTAAAATGGCACCAAATATTAGAGCTGTGTATCATGGCCAAAGTGGCGAGAGGATATATCCGAATACCAGGTTAATGAGGCGAGATGGCATATCATGAAAGTATTGGCAAGGAACCTGCGAGACTATTATCATCATGATACCACGGTGGCGATACGTTACGTATCCCGATACTTTACAATTTCTAATAACAACATATATGATACATAAAATGACTGAAACTTTATTTGTTATACAGCAGAACTTGTTTTACATTCACACACACTTAAAAGGCTGTTCATCTCATAAAGTTTCAGCATTTAATGCTTAAGTATACTTTGTTCTAATAAAATATAGACCCGTGAAGATCCGGGGTAGAATAGGTCTTCAGCAACCCATGTGCTTGCCATAAAAAGGCGACTATCTTGTCGTAAGAGGCGACTAACGGGATCGGGTGGTCAGTTTCGCTGACTTGGTTGACACATGTCATCGGTTCCCAATTGCGCAGATCGATGCTCATGCTGTTGATCACTGGATTGTCTGGTCCAGACTCGATTATTTACAGACCGCCGCCATATAGCTGGAATATTGCTGAGTGCGGCGTAAAACTAAACTCACTCTAATAAAATAAATTTGAAAATGAAGCCTCCCTTGGGAAGTTGTGTTTCTGCACCAATGCTTTCATAAACAATTCAATGGAATTTATATCAGAATTCAGAAGCACTGAAAAAAACTCTTAATTAGGCATTCTAAATTTTATCCTCTGTTTGTTCTCTTTCTTAACAAAGCTAAGACATTGTTCATAGTTGTTAATGTTATTTGTCAAACAACTAAACATATTTCAATTAATTGAAGACAAGTATTCTACAGTTCACAGAGTTTGAAAAATGTTCCCATTCTTTCACTTAAACACTAACTCCTTTCTTCATGTAACAAAGATAGCAGACACAAACAAATTCCTATTAGGTTCAATTTGTTTTAAAAATTCAGAAGAATTTCAAAGAGACTCCCTTCCTATTCCTAATGCAATACTCCTTACAACTTTAAGTAGTATTTAATTTTTATTGGGTTATATCGTCCCTTGTGGCGATATATCGATTGATCATGGACCCTCGTAATATAAATATCATGATATATTGCCGATGCAAACATCGATACTATCGATGAATCGTAACACCACTACCAAATATATTATTTGGTATGTATGTTATCTTCTTAGAGAGGCATATAGAAGTTGGATCAATAAGGAAGGATGACATCTCAGGCTTGTATAAATGCTGGTCTGTTCTCATTCTGTTCATCACTTGCTTGATAACTATGTTAGAACCTACACCGAAACGGCACTCTCACTGTAATGAAGAAATTGTTCATCCATATACATGTATTGTCATTCTTCCTTTCATTCAGTTACTTCAGCTGGTTCTGTCTACCCAGCTAGCAATCTGATATATGGTGTAAGAGGCGACTTGGTTGACTTGGTTGACACATGTCATCGGTTCCCAATTGCGCAGATCGATGTTCATGCTGTTGATCACTGGATTGTCTGGTCCAGGCTCGATTATTTACAGACCGCTGGAATATTGCTGAGTGTGGCGTAAAACTAAGCTCACTCACTCACTCACTCACTCTGCTATATGGCTTGTGTCACATTGGGACAATGATGGCTAAACATTATCAGTTTTATTCCTCAGTACTCCATAGGCTGCTTGAAATGATTTTACCTACCCAGCAAGGCTATAACGATGCAAGCAATTTATACCCTGGATACATTTTGAACTCTGTGCATGTAACAAAAACTCAACAATATAACCGTCAGTTGGCTGGGAACCCCTGGGATGTTTGATATAGGCTCAAGACTCAATATCATGTTCTTGCATATAATTAGTTAATTATATTATATATAGGCATATCCATGAGCTTTAACCATTATTTGATGACTTTTAGCTGTGGTTTCTAGAAACAGTGGGAAACGATCACATTCACCACCACCAGACACAGTACCACCAGACACACCCACACTCGGAGCCACACCCAGTACAACTAGACACATCCACACCCAGTACCACCAGACACAGTCAGTACCACCAGGTACACCCACGTGCATACTCAGTACCACCAGGTACACCCACACTCAGTACCACCAGACACACCCACACTCAGTACCACCAGACACACCCAGTACCACCAGACACATCCACATCCAGTACCACCAGACACACCCACACCCAGTACCATCAGACACATCCACACCCAGTACCACCGGACACACCCACACTCAGTACCACCAGACACAGTCAGTACCACCAGGTACACCAGCACTCAGTACAAATAGACACATCCACATCCAGTACCACCAGACACATCCACATCCAGTACCACCAGACACACCCACATCCAGTACCACCAGACACACCCACACCTAGTACCACCAGACACAAACAGTACCACCAGGTACACCTACACCAAGTACCACCAGACACATTCACACGTAGTACTACCAGACACAGACACAATCAGTACCACCAGGTACACCTACACCCAGTACCACCAGACACAATCAGTACCACCAGGTACACCTACACCCAGTACCACCAGACACAATCAGTACCACCAGGTACACCCACAATCAGTACCACCAGACACACCCACACCCAGTACCACCAGACACATCCACACCTGAGTACCACCGGACACACCCACACTCAGTACCACCAGACAGTCAGTACTAGTGTTGGCAATTGGTTAAAATCTAATAATTGATGATTGGTCCATTACAACCGATCAATCATCGATAGTAATTGGTTAGCGTCATTTATTAAATGTTCCCGTTGTTTTTGTTAATGCACAAAAAAAAAAGAAAGAAAAAACATGTAGTAATTTGGTTTTTTTGCAAATTGCTTAAAGTCCATTTGCAAATTTTGCATATTTAAATGATGATTAGTATGTTAGAAACACATATTTCCTGGATTTTTTAAGATACATTCAATCATGACTTGGAACAAGCTTATAGTGCTTATGAAATGTAAATTTCATGACACAGACAAAACCAGCCTTGTGAAAAATATTGTTAATGCAAACAAGTTTTCCAACTTTGGTTGTGTTCGATTACGAGAAAACATGTTCGATTGCTTGGTCGTTTAGTCACTGCGACCAATCTTCGATTATGTCAATTTATCGGACCACCACTAGTCAGTACCATCAGACACATCCACACCCAGTACCACCAGGAACTCCCACATCCAGTACCACCAGACACATCCAAATCCAGTACCACCAGACACACCCACACTCAGTACCACCAGACACAGTCAGTACCACCAGACACAGTCAGTACCACCAGGTACACCCACACTCAGTACCACCAGGTACACCCAATTTCAGTACCACCAGACACATCCACATCCAGTACCACCAGACACACCCACAGTCAGTACCACCACACACATCACCATCCAGTACCACCAGACACACCCACACCCAGTACCACCAGACACATCCACATCCAGCACCACCAGACACATCCACATCCAGCACCACCAGACACACCCACACCCAGTACCACCAGACACATCCACATCCAGTACCACCAGACACACCCACACCCAGTACCATCAGACATACCCACACCCAGTACCACCAGACACACCCACACTCAGTACCACCAGACACACCCACACCCAGTACCACCAGACACATCCACACCCAGTACCACCAGACACACCCACACCCAGTACCACCAGACACACACCCACACACAGTACCACCAGTACCCACACCAGTACCACACACACCCACACCCAGTACCACCAGACACATCCACATCAGTACCACCAGACACACCCACCAGCACCACCAGACACACCCACACCCAGTACCACCAGACACATCCACATCCAGTACCACCAGACACACCCACAACCAGTACCATCAGACACACCCACACCCAGTACCACCAGACACACCCACAGTCAGTACCACCAGACACACCCACACCCAGTACCACCAGACACACCCACACCCAGTACCACCAGACACACCCACACCCAGTACCACCAGACACACCCACACCCAGTACCACCAGACACACCCACACCCAGTACCACCAGGTACACCCAATTTCAGTACCACAAGACACACCCACACCCAGTACCACCAGACACACCCACACCCAGTTCCACCAGACACACCCAATTTCAGTACCACCAGACACACCCACACTCAGTACCACCAGACACACCCACAGTCAGTACCACCAGACACATCCACACCCAGTACCACCCGACACATCCACACCCAGTACCACTGGACACAGTCAGTACCACCAGACACATCCACACCCAGTACCACCGGACACACCCACACTCAGTACAACCAGACACATCCACACCTAGTACTACAAGACACACCCACACCCAGTAGAACCAGACACACCTACACCCAGTACCACCAGGTACACCCACACCCGGTACCACCAGACACACCCACACCCAGTACCACCCGACACATCCACACCCAGTACCACCAGACACATCCACACCCAGTACCACCAGACACACTCACACCCAGTACCACCAGACACGCCGACATCCAGTACCACCAGACACGCCGACATCCAGTACCACCAGACACATCCACACCCAGTACCACCAGACACATCCACACCCATTACCACCAGACACATCCATGTCCAGGACCACCAGACTCAGTCAGTACCACCAGACACATCCACACCCAGTACGACCAGACACACCCACACCCAGTACGACCAGACACACCCACACCCATTACAACCAGACACACCCACACCCAGTATGACCAGACACATCCACACCCAGTACCACCAGACACACCCACACCCAGTACAACCAGACACATCCACACCCAGTACCACCAGACACACCCATACCCAGTACCACCAGACACACCCATACCCAGTACCACCAGACACACCCATACCCAGTACCACCAGACACATCCACACCTAGTACAACGAGATACCCCCATGCTCAGTACCACCAGACACAGTCAGTACAACCAGACACACATGTAAAACACTGCTACAACACACTCGTGTCAAAACACTGCCACAACACACACATGTGAAAACACTGATGTGCTGTGGCAGTGTTTTTACATGTGTGAGTTCAGATTATAAATGCCTAACTGCTGGTACTCCTGTTGTCATGGTGATCTCTGATTTGTCTGTTGCAGTGACTTGACTCCTTGGACTTGATGGTGCCACCTACATGCTGCCACTGGCCTTCACCTACATAGTGCCACTGGCCTTCACCTTCATGTTGCTGTCACCATTATCAGGCTGCAAAACACTTTGACCTGTAGCCTTTCATAAACTTTAACTTCACGATGTCATTGACCTTTTCCTTTATGAGGTTGGTGAACTCCACCTTCTAACTGCCACAGACCTTCACATTGGCTCATTCATAACCTTCACCTTGACAAGAAGTGCAATAGAGAGGAGGACGGAAAGACTTACGAAATGCAGGTCAGAAACTTGGAATTGTCTTCACACTGATACTTGCTGTAACATGTTGATTATGTCTGACATTGTCATGATGTTTCTGTGACACTGTCATGATGTGTCTGTGACACTGTCGTGATGTGTCTGTGACACTGTCATGTTGCTGTGACACTGTCATGATGTGTCTGTGACACTGTCATGATGTGTCTGTGACACTGTTATGTGTCTGACAGTCATGATGTTCCTGTGACACTGTCATGATGTGTATGTGACACTGTCATGATGTGTCTGTGATACCATCATGTGTCTGTTACACCGTCATGTGTCTGACAATGTCACTGTCATGATGTTTGTTGTGACATGTGTGTGTCTGTGACATGTGACACTGTCATGTGTCTGACATGTCATGATGTTTGTGTGACACTGTCATGATGTTCATGTGTGACACTGTGTCTGACATGATGTTTGTGTGACACTGTCATGATGTTTGTGTGACACTGTCATGATGTTTGTGTGACACTGTTATGATGTGTCTGTGACACTGTCATATATTATATAATAGTATCTGTGAAACTGTCTCTATGTTAGTGAAAGGTGGCAGTATGTCTGTGACACTGTATCACTGAAAGGTATGTCCGACACTGTACACTGTCTGTTACAACGTTATGAAGTATTGCACTGAGGCATGATGTCAGTGACACTGGGTTCTGGGTCATGTAGAATGCTACTAGTTTTGGGGCCTCCATATTCTCCAGAAAGTTGTTGGTGAGTTTGAATAGACAATGCTTCCTGGAAGAAGTCCAATTATTTGTCTACGCTGCATATAGATGCGGACAGGGTATCTGTGCCTAGCCAGCTTAACTGTGCATTTTGGTCAATTTATAACTCACATGAATCTATTCTCAATGCATGCTCTAAGTGCACAAAGTAGCTGAGATAAAAAGTCAGTCTTGAAAGGCAGTTTGAAATTAATAGGTCTTGAAGTGAGATTTGAAGAAACTGTAAGATGTGAGGGAAGATTGTTCCACTCTGTTGCTGCATTATCAACAAAAGATAAATTGCATTGAATTGTTTGTGAAAGCATTGGTGTAGAAACACAACTTCCCAAGGGGAAACTTCAGTTTCAAATTTACTTTATTAGATCAAGGTATACTGAATATGTGTGACTGTACTTTCTTAAGCCTAAAATGCTGAAAATTTATTAGATCAACAGCTTTTTAAGTGTGTGTGAATGTACTGTTTCTGCTGTATAACAAATGAAGTTTCAGTCATTTCACTTATCATATCTGCTCTGTTATTGAAATTGTAAAGTATCGGGATAAGTATAGAATCGCCACCATTGTATCATGATGATAATTGTCTCGTAGGTTCCTTGCCAATACTTTCATGATATATCGTCTCATTATAGTCTGTTTGCAGTGAAAACGTACCGATGAATTTCACTTTAAACAAAGAAGTAAATCAAATAAAGTGAAATTAAGATTGCGAATGCACATTAAATGGAACTCCGAGAACAAGAAGGGTTGGTTCCTACAGTAGTCTAAGTTAACGCTCATCACGCACGCATTTATTTCACTGTTCCAACTACTGTGCGTACCCCCCTTGTAATACAAACCAATAATAGAGATTTGAAACTATAACAATAATTGTTTGTTAAACAACTTTATCCTAAGTTGAACAAAACTCTGAGATTTAAATGTTTAATTGGCAAGGTATGAGGAATTGCAATCTTAATTTCACTTTATTTGATTTATTTTTTTGTTTAAAGTGAAATTCAGCGGTACGTTTTCACTGCAAACAGACTAAAAACTAGTATTGGGATATATCGTCTGGCCACTTAGGCCATGATATAAATCTCTAGCAGCAACCCTAACCATCTTCCAGTGTTGTCTCTTAGCTGTAATTCGGATGAATGTAATAGAAACAATAATCTTCTCAATTCCTTTTTCTTGATAGTTGATAGATAAACTTCTGTATTTAGAACGAACTTAATGGCTTTGTAATAGGTCCTCTTTCTTGATGTTGATACTGCCTCTATCCACTCTTGTTGATAACATTCTTTAATCCTTTGTTTAAATGTAGTTATGAAGTTCGGAATATTGCTGACTTCTTGTGACATCCAAACGAATCCAAAACTGTACTGAAAAAGAAGTTTGACTGGCCCATGTTCATCTGTTGCTTAAGTCCACTTTAAACATCATGGTATTAACCTGTTGCAGGTGTCTGTTTGACGGTAGCTGTAGCATCTTGCACCAGTATTTAATACATCTTGTGTGGTAGTCGACGTTTAATGCATAGTGTCCACAGATCACAAAAAGCGAAGCCATACTTTGGGAGCTCAGGGCCTCAGAAGCTCGGAAAATCTGTTGTGCTATTCGCCCTGTATCAGAGGCGATTTCACCTAATTGCCATAATGACAGAGCTCCAGATAAGGTGCGTATTTGCGTATACTGCACTGTAGAAAAGTTGAAATACCGGTACGCAAGAAAAATAAATGCTAGCGTATGAAAAAGCACTAAATATTTACGTGTACGCTGTGTCAAACTAACAATGTGTGTTTACCCAATACATAAAAATCATGTTGCGTATCATATCAATTCAAGCCAATCAAACTTAAAGTTTATCCATCTCTTAAATATTCACGATTAAACGAAACTTGAATAATTCTAACGTAATTAGGATGCACAAACAGGTAGAATATCAGTCTTGATTTGTTAACCATTCACTGATTAGCCCATCTGTAAATACCGACCAATCAAATTGCTGTTTTCTTTTGATATGTCCTGTAAACAATTGATAATGGCGAGCAAGAGTGGTCGAAAGCTTAAACACACTCAAAGTAAAATATCTAGTTTTTTTACGCTACAAACAGAAAACAATTAGAGGACTGCTAGATGAATTAATGGGCAAGTGCTGTGTTTCCCAATCAGATTCAAATGACAGTTTTTCTTAAACGAACTTGTAACATTAGCTATTCGCGGCACCAAAACAGATGTAGACAAAGGCACATATTATTTCTTACAGCACAAGTGGATAAAGCTGTATTAGCTATTAGCTATAATTAGCATTATTTGTTATTCATCTTTAACCTGGAGGATTTTGACTTATCGCTATTATTGGATAAAAAAATGTCGCACTGAAACTTGTTATTTGAAATGAATACCTGGATTTAAAAAATAATGTGGGATTAAAAAGTATTGATACCCACTTGAAATTGGAAATCCCCTTTTAGTTTAAAAAGTATGGGTATTGTACCCACATGACCAAAAGCTTATCTGGAGCTCTGATAATGAGCTTACGTACATTTATTTATTGCAAAAAGAATTGTGTCATGCCCACTCGCCATTGATGACCTTGTTGTACCCCACCCAACCTTAAAAGAGATAGTGATCTGATTGGCTTTTAAACTAAAAATATGATGTTTCATTTTACACCCTCACTTCCATGTGGCACTGTACTGAAAGTAGTGGTGGTCCGATTAATTGAAATAATCGAAGATTTCGCAGATGGCCAAATGACCAAGCCCGATCACATTTTCTCATAATGAACACAAGCGATTTTGGAACCGCTGTAATAGAGTTTGAAATACTTGATGATGGAACATATCTAGGGCGTTGTCAGGGCCTGAAAACGTGTTTATTTCTAAGCAAACTCACTTCACTTTCTGAAAAGTCATGACTGAATATTACTGGAACTGAATCATTTTACACTGGATGTGAAATCTGCAATTGTAATTTGTGCAGTTTCTCAAAAACAACAGAGAACCAAATATGTTTTCTTTATACTTATCTGCAACTACAACCTGAATAGGAAAATCTAAAAATGGCGGCTAACCAATTTTTTTTCGATGATGGTATTGAACCAATCATCAATTGTGATTTCAACCAATTCCCAACACTAACTGAAAGTGTTAAGTAACATATGCTCCCATATGAAAGCTATAAGAATACACAATGCCATTTTTTAGTGGTCAAATGTAACATATGTTATATTTGGGATACTAAGAAAGTATAATCCCAAATATAACATATGTTACATTTGACCACTTTCTAAAATGGCATTGTGTATTTCATAGCTTTCGGCCATGGGAGCCATGCTAATGTTAACACTTATCAGAGGGGTACACAAAGTCCGCAGTCTAGACTACCAGTTGTTCGACTTCCATTTTTTGTGGAAGCCGCGGTGGCTGAGCGGTCTAGGCGTCTGACTTTGTGTGCTGGCAATTAGGTGCCTGACTGTGAGGGTGTGGGTTCGAATCCCGGATGGGACTCAACCCAAAGAGTACTAGAATCTGTACTTTACTAAGAAAGTGTAATCCCAAATATAACATATGTTACAAGTCTATTTTTCTATGTATAAAGGCCCAAAAACATACATGTTGTCCTTCCGATAGCAGAAATCTCAAATTCATGTTTCACAGGTATGGATTCTTTCATTGTGTTTTACCATTTGATAGTATGTAGAACTTGATGATAGTAGTAGGGAATGCTTATAATGATCTGTGTCACCCTCAATCATGGGATGTAGCAGTTCTTAACATGGCCTGTTTCTTCTGGGAATCTTTGAAGGGTATTTAGAAGTGGAATGCATAATAAATCTTGCTTTTCTTTCTTCTGGGAAGTTTCATTTAAAAATCAAATTCTCATTTTTGAAGTGACTGCAGGGATTCAAAAATATGATTGCCCGACGCCCGGGTATGGTAAACTTTCCATGTTGGGCAACTAAACTAATCATTTCAACATGCCCGAGGGCAAGTAATTGAATTTCATACGTTAATTTCAGCATCACTGTCTGTTTTACATTGAGATTTTATCAGTGTTTAACCCATTCCACACCACAGGCCCCAGACACTGTAAACCGGCAAGGCAGTAGTTGCACCAAAATTATGCATAATTTTAGGAACATACCTGACATATGATTCATTTATTAAATTTATCACTTTTCAGAATGTATGAAAACACTTGTTACGTTCAAATGATCATATATTATTGACAGAATTAGAATTATGCACTATTTTTTGCAGT